ACCCCTTCTCCCCGGCCGAAGGAGGAACTGAAAAACCTCCGGGGCCAACCCAAGGAGGGGGACTCCTCCCTCCGGGCCCAGCCAGGTTTCAGTAATACTTGGCCTAGTTTCATATATCCTCAGCCTAATTTGAAGAGTCCTTTGCAAGCAAACAATTTAGCTCCCAAAACAGGTTTGCTCTTTCTCATTACCCAAAGAGTAAAAAAAAAGATGCCTCAGAGAAAGAAAACGCAGGCCACGTTCACGTTTGATTGTGATCCTTCTCATCACTAGAAAGTATTGCAGCTCCCACCATATTAATCTCACGGGAATGCAGTCCTTAGCAGAAAAAAAAAAGACTGCCTAACTCAGCTATCAGCAATTAGATATGGGGGATTGAAGGTATAATCCAAATTTATTAGCGTCTATCCCAGGAGAGATGAAGTGTCCCAATATGTAGGACATGCGTCAGCAAGCTTTTCCTTTGAAGGCACTGATTTTTCTGCTTTAATTCTTTCTATGTAGAACTAGTATTTTTCCCTATACACATTATTCTTTTCCTCCAGAACTGATATAGCTCCCAGGATCGACTTTCACCCAGCGATTCATTAAATGGTTGGTATCCACCCAGTAAACATTAACAACTTTGCTGTTTGGGAATCCTAGGAGTTTTAGTTTTAGTTCCCATACTAGGTAAGGATGGCATTTGTGAAGCTGCAAGGTAAATACATAGAGTCCTCAATTTAGAATTGTTTGTTTAGTGACTGTTTGAAATTATGACAGCACTGAACAAACGGACTTATAACTATTACCCGAAATTCTATCTACTGTGTTCATGTGAACAATATTTGGGTCCAATCACCCTTACAACCGACCATACAGGAGCTGAAGCAACCACTGCCTATCTTCCTCTGCTTCATGGCCCACTGAATCCTGACAGGCCTCGGGCCTGCTTCCCACCCTGCTGGGTCCAAAACCCTCCTCCCTGTCTTGTCACAGTCCAGTCATTTACCTTTTCTGTATGCAGGCCCCATTTGCTGGAGGCGACCCCAATGAATTGTGACCCAAAACAGGGCCTGCTTCCGGGATGGCACCATGCAGTCTCCATATTATACAGAGAGGCTGAGGGGCAGATCAGAGATCATGTTCGGGAAGGAGATCCAGCCAATCTGCCCCTCAGCCTGCCTACAGAGTACAGAGGCTGAGTACCACCATCCTGGAACCAGGTGCCATTTTGGAGTGACCACAATTTATTGTGGCTGCTCCCAAAATGGCATTCAATTCCAGGATGGTGCCTGATGGCCCCTGCATAGGAAGGCTGTGTGGCAATGCACCTACTTCCCAAAGAAGACCTAAAGAAATGGACCGAGCCATGGTGGTAGTGGGACTCAGTGGATTGGAAAATTGGCCTAAGGCCTGCAGGGACCCAGCAGGATAGAAAAAGCAAGCTTAAGATCTGCAGGGATCCAGTAGGGTGGAAGGCAGAGCACAGGATGCCTCAGGAGGTGGGAGAGACCCAAGTCAAGCCATGTATGCATTGGGAAAGTGCTACTAGGGTTGACCTCTGCTAAGCTTCCTAGGGCTTCCCCCCATACCTCAGGCATCCCATGTTCTGCTTAATTATCATAATTGGGATTGTTAAGCAGGGTGATCATATAAATGCCTTACTTACTTATAACAGTGAGGAAGAATGTCGTCACATCACTTCAATGCCTGTTAACCCTTCTATTCAGTTATTATGTGATGATGGGCAGCTTAAGAGCCTTTCTTATGGTTCTCTACTTTTAAATCAGGCATGGGCTGGACAATCTTTCCAACAGGGGAAACTTCCAGAGAAGATAGACCTCAAAGATTGCCTACTTAGGTAGAACCTATATCTTGCTGGAAGATATAAGTTCTACCTAAGTGCTAGGAAGAACTGGACTACTGTAACGCGCTCTACATGGGGCAGCCCTTGAAGAATATTCGGAGACTTCAGCTTATCCAGAATGCAGCCGCGCGAGCGATTGTGGGTGCACCTTCGTACACCCATGTTACACCTATCCTCCGCGAGCTGCACTGGCTGCCTGTTGGGCTCCAGATGTGCTTCAAGATGCTAGTCGTTACTTTTAAAGCCCTACATGTATCGGACCTGGGTACTTGAGAGACCGCCTCCTGCCAATTACCTCCCTATGACCAATTAGATCCCACAGATTAGGCCTCCTCTGCATACCATCAGCTAGCCAATGTCGACTGTCGACCACTCGGGGGAGGGCCTTCTCTGTGGCAGCTCCGGCCCTCTGGAACGATCTCCCCGTTGAGATCTGGACCCTCACCTCCCTTCAGGCTTTCCGCAAAGCTATCAAGACCTGGCTGTTCCGGCAGGCCTGGGGCTGATGAGTTCCCAGCCCCACTCGAATTTGTTGCGACTGTTGC